TGTATGTGTGTATGTGTGTGCGTGTGTGTGCGTGTGTGTTTGTGCGTGTGCGTGTGCGTGTGTGTGTGTGTCTGTGTGTGTGCGTGTGTGCGTGAATGTGTGAGTGTGTGCGTTTGTGTGTGTGCGTGCGTGTGTGTGTGCGTGTGTGGGTGTGTGTGTGCGTGCGTGTGTGTGTGTGCGTGTGTGTGCATGTGAGTGAATAGGTGTGTGTGTGTGTGTGCGTGTGTGTGCGTGTGTTTTTGTGTGTGTGTGTGCGTGTGTAGTTATGTGTGCGCGTGTGTGTGCTGTCACGTGCGCGGGCGCACCTGGCACACTCTGCGAGTGCCCGGGGCGTGGCGCCCCTGGCGCGGCTGGACAATGCGGCACACATGGCGCACGTGAAGCACCGCTTTTGGCGCGCGAGACACGCCTGGCACGCTGGGGCTCCAAAGGTGCCCGGCGCACCTGGAGCGCCTGGCACGAATGGCGCACCTCGCCCCATCGCGCACACGGGTTCTGTGGTGGTTCCCAGTAGCTGCTCATCCATAGACGACCGCTGTGCTATTTATGTGTTGGGAGAGCGGGTGGGGGTGAGCGAGACAGCTTGCGGGCGGGGCAGGTGTCTTGACCCCTCCCCCCGCACCCTCCTTCTGGGTTTGAAGGCGGCGTTCCGCGAGGCGTTGGAGCGTCCAAGATGGCCTCGGCAGGGAAGCCCAAGTCATTGAGTTTACTGGAGATGAGTGCCATAGTTGGGCCTCCTGGAAGGGGGGGGCTAACTAAGGAGCGCCCCTTAGGAGGCTCCAAGAAGCTCCCAAGAGGCTTCAAAGATGCCCCCCAGAGGCTCCCAAGAGACCCCAAGAAGCCCCAAGAGGCCCCCTGGAGGCCACCTAAGACGCTCTAAGAGGCTTCGGCGAGGGGGCCAAAATCATTGATTTCACGATGGTGTTGACCACGTGTTCGGAGGGGGGGGGGGACCATGATTAAGGAGCCCCCCACCTTGGAACGATCTCCTCCAAGATGGCCCTAAGATGGCCCCGAGGCTCCCAAGGGTGCCCCCAAGAGGACCCCAAGAAGCACCACCAGAGGCATCCAAGACGCCCAAAGAGGCCTCGGCTAGGAAGGCCAACATCACTGATGCTACCTACGATGTTGGCCACATGTTGGCCTCCCGGGGGAGGACAATTTAGTACGGCCCGTCCTTTGATCGATCTCCTCCAAGATGACCCCAACATAGCCCCCTTATTGCTTCCCGTCTACCGAGGACGAGAACGATGTCATGATGCGATTGGCTCTAGACACGATCCAGGAATTCTGGAGCACGCGGCTCTCGTTTCTGGAGCCCGCGCGAAACAGCAGAACATCCCCAACAGATCAAAATTATCCCAGTGCGACCCTACCTAGGAGTTGGAGCATTTAGGAAAGCAACATCTACATCTACACCGACTGCTACATTTACATCTACACATGCATCTACATCTACATCAACATCAACAGCGAGTCTCACATCTACATATACATCTCCATCTACATCTACACCTACAACGGCATCTACAGCTAAACCGACATCCGCATCTAGACTAGAATATGATATGCTGTGCTGCGCTATGCTATGTTATGATATGATATGATGTGCTATGCTATGAAATGATATGCTACGCTATGTTATGATGTGCTATGCTATGCTATGTTATGATATGATATGATATGATGTGCTATGATGTGCTATGCTGCGCTGTGTTATGCTAAGCAATGCTATGATATGATATGATATGCTATGCTGAGCTATGCTATGCCATGCTGAGCTATGCTATGATGTGATATGCTTGGCTATGCTATGCTATGCTATGCTATGCTGTGCTGTGCGAATGCTGCGCTGCGCTATGCTGCGCTTAGCTAAGCTAAGCTAGGCTAGGCTAGGCTAAGCTAAGCTAAGCTAAGCTAAGCTGTGCTAAGCTAAGCTAAGTTAAGCTAAGCCAAGCTAAGCCAAGCTAAGCTAAGCTAAGATGTGATACGCTAAGCTAAGCTAAGCTAAGTTAAGTTAGGTTAGGCTAGGCAAAGCTAAACTAAGCTAAACTAAGCTGAGCTAAGCTAAGCTCAGATGAGCTAAGCTAAGCTAAGCTAAGCTAAGCTAAGCTACACTAAGCTAAGCTAAGCTAAGCTTAGCTAAGCTAGCTGGGTGAACCCAGGGGGCGCAACTGGGGGAACCGCGGGGCGGATCCTGGGGGAACCGCCCGGGGCGGGGTCCACTGCCCGGCCCCTTAAGCTTACAGGGTAAGAACCCGTCTAGGCAGAGCCTAGGTAGGGAAAAAAACCTTAGAACGTATCACGTTTATTGCTCTCCGCTCCCGAATTCAGACGAAGCCAGGACCAACACGAAACTTGATGAATCGGGAATCTCTGAGATCTGGCGGCTGTGGAGAATGTATCGGGCGCCACGTCCGTGCCAAAGCGCGCCAAGAACGCTCTGAGAGCGTTCCGGAACTCTCTCAGAGCTCCTTCGCTACGGGCCTCCCAGACGGGGCCGAACCAGACGGTGTCGGAGGATCGCGCCGCATCGTCCATGCATCACCGGTGCATCGGCGATGCACCAGCGATGCATCGGCAACATCGGCAATACATCGGCGACGTCGGCACGGAGAACAATCGTGCTCCGCATCGAGCCGCATCGCCGATACATCGGCTATGCGGAGCGATCCTTCGGCCCCACGTCATCTTTCGAGGCGGATCGACCCGTGAGGGTCCTGGATCCCGAAGTCGGGCGAAACCGCCCGTGGTGATGAAAGATTGCAGAGCCAAGGACCTCAGGGTCGGTCCGCCCGACGAGCATCAGGTCGGGCATGTCCTCTTACAGGTGGATCTGGGAGGACAAATTGAAAATATTCCAAAAATATTCAGAACTAGTCGAACAGAGTCAAACAGATCGTCCCCATACTATGTTCTGACTCTTGTTGAATATCACCCCTGTAGCGGGACGTGCCCGACTTAGGACGAGCGCCCCAAGGCACCCCGCACCCGCCTGGCCCCTGCCCAGCAGAAGGCCCACGTCGGGGCACGACGTGCAGAAGCGGCGCACTTCCCATACGTTTCCATCTTGTCCGGGGGGTCGGCGATCAGTTGTGTCGTTGGTGTTGCTTCCCCTCCTGATTCTGCGCCGCAGGGCAGGAGAGGGATCCTAGATATCCGCCGACCCCCGCTTGCCAGGGGCGAAAAGGCGTGCGACCTCTGGCCGTCGTCCCCCCCTCCCCAAGGGCTCCTAACTTCGCGCTTCGCGCTGCGCGAAGCGCGAATCACTTCGCGCCCTCGCGCCGCCTCCCAGGGGAGAAGAGGGGGAGAGGAGGAAAATCGGAGCCGAACCGCGAAGCGCGAAGCGCGAATCACTTCGCACCCTCGAGGGCAGCCCGACCCCCCTCCCCCCCCTGTGTCCCGCCCCGCCCGGCCCCTGCCCAGCAGAGGGCCCACGTCGGGGTACGACGTGCAGAAGCGGCGCTTCGCCCTCGGCCGCAGCTCGCGCCTCGGGGGGGGGGGGCAGAGGGGCAGGAGTCGCGGGGGCCGCGGGCAGGAGCGCAGCCCTCGGGGGGCCCTCCTCCTCCTCCTCCTCCTCCTCCTCCTCCTCCTCCTCCTCTCCTCCTCCTCCTCCTCCTCCTCCTCCTCCTCCTCCTCCTCCCTCCTCCCTCTCCTCCCGCCTCCTCCTCCTCCTCCACCACCACCTCCTCCACCTCCTCCTGCTCCTCCTCCTCCCTCCCTCCCTACCTCCCTCCCTCTTTCCATCCCACCTTCCTCCCTCCCTCCTTCCCTCCTCCCTCCTCCATCTCCCTTCTCGCCCTCCTCTCTCTCTCTCTCTCTCGTCGGTGAGGCTCCTCTTGTACTGCTCTTGGAGCTCTGTCTTGGCACCCGTGTGTCGTTTTCCTCAGCTGGCGCCTGCTGTGCAATGTTTGGGGTCCAACGCCCGCTTAATTTCGCGAGTTGAGTGCCATCTTTTATCCTGACCATCCAATGGTTGAATCAGAATCTTCTCTGCCCGATGCGTTTCAGCCTGCTGCTGTGTCTCACGCGCTTCTTTACCTCGGCCTTCAGTTACACGAACACGGCGACATTCGCCCAGGTCTGCGCCCCACCACCATCTCTTCTCCTTCCTGTCCTTTCCTCCCTCCTCCGCGGGGGCGCCGTCGACGCCGCCGCGTCAGTCGTTGATGGAGTCGTCGTCGTCGCCGCCGCTGCCGCCGCCGCCGTCGTCGCCGTCGGCGTCGAAGCCGCCGCCGCCGCCGCCGTTGGTCCCGCCATCGCCGAATGAAGCCGTCGTCGTCGTCGTCGTCGTCGTCGCCGGAGGCGGCAATGAGAGGAGGGAGAGGACCCATACACTTGAGGCCCTTCGCCATATTCGGCCCCTGGGGGCCCCCGAAGGGCGGAGGGAGAGGCGGGCAAAAATGAAACAGGAGCAGGAGCGGGAAAAAATCGGCTCGGGATAAGCCGGAGATTGCTGGCATCTGGCGGCTCTGAGGGATGCCTTCTCAGAGCGTTCGGGAACGCTCTGAGAGCATTCAGAGAACCTCTGGACAGACTTGCGGGAGACCAAACGGTACCAATACCACTACTCCCCGGACCTCTCCCGGGGTGCGTTCTGACCAGAATTTCGAGGCGATTCAAGCGCTGGCGACGACGAGCGCCTCCCAGGAGACCGAAAAAGGGAAAACGGGTGAAGGGCAGTATGGATACCTGATACCTCTACCTCCTCCGAGACTTGTTGCGATCCAGGACCCGATGTAGAAATTGGGGAGAAAGATGTATCAGACCAGGCCGCCCAGAATTGTTATCCCTGATGCGAAGACGGGGCTAGGTGAGGCCACATCTTCATCGTGTTATGAGGGTTAGGGTCTTGTCTTCTCGACGAGAATAGAAATACAATTATCCTGGCGAAGAACCCAACCATATGAAGATGTGGGTACCGCAATTGTGAAGATCTTCTTCGGTGAAGCTCCCTATGTATGGGGCCACGAAGCGCTGCGCTGGGCGGGGGAGGAACGCATGCGGGCGGTAGTACTGGGCCCGTCGGTGAAGCTCCCTATAAGGCCGCGAAACGCTGCACTGGGTGGGTGAAAATACCAAATTAGGCGTGTGGGACACATGCGGGCGGTCCCATTGGGGGCTTCGGTGGAGCTCCCCCTTGGGGCCGCGAAGCGTTGTAAAGGGTGGGTGAAATGCAAAATTGGGTGTGGGGGACGCATGCGGGCGGCCCCACTGGGGGCTTCGGTGGGGCTGCCTGTGGGGCCACGAAGAGCTGCACTGGGTCTTTGAAAATGCCACATTCGGTGTGGGGCACGCATGCGGGCGGTCCCATCGGAGCCTTCGGTGGAGCTCCCTATGGGGCCACGGAGCGCTGTACTGGGTGGGTGACAATGCCAAATCGGGTGTGGGGGACGCATGCGGGCGGTCCCATTGGGGGCTTCGGTGGGGTTCCCTATGGGGCCACGAAGCGCTGTACTGGGTGACAATGCCAAATTGGATGCGGGGGACGCATGCGGGCGGTCCCACTGGAGGCTTCGATGGGGCTCCCTATAGGGTCACGAAGCGCTGTACTGGGCGGGTGAAAATGCCAAATTGGATGTGGGGGACGCATGCGGGCGGTCCCACTGGGGGCTTCGGTGGAGCTCCCTATGGGGTCACGAAACGCTGTACTGGGTGGGTGAAAATGCCAAATTGGGCGTGGGGGACGCATGCAAGCGGTCCCACTGGGGGCTTCGGTGGAACTCCCTATGGGGCCACGAAACGCTGCACTGGGTGGGTGAAAAGGCCACATTGGGTGTGGGGGACGCATGCGGGCGGTCCCACTGCCCCGCCGTGTCCGGCAGCGGGCGCCGCGGCCGTGTGCAGAGCGCTCCTGGAACGCTCTGGGGAGCGTCCCCGGACGCTCTGGAGCGGCTCCCGCCTGGCCCCCTGGGGAACGTCACGATTCGAGAGCTGGGCGAGGGCTGCTAAAACCGTGGCTGCTAAAACGGCCCTCCCGGAAGGAAAAAACAACTTCCCGGAATGAGGCGCGGCACGCGAAACAGTCAACGGGCTTCTTCCCGGAAGGACGAAGACAATTTCCCGGAGGTCGATTTTAGCAGCCACGGATTTAGCAGCCCTTGCCTGGCTTCCGAACGATTCGTGCTGACCTCCGTGTTGGCTTGTTCGTTACTCCTAGACGTTTCCAGGCGGCGCCAGCGCGAAACGTGACGCCACGGGACCCCGCCCCCCCTCCCCCTCCGGGAACGGCCGTGATCGCCTGGGGACCACAGAACGCTCTCCCGGCGGCTGACGTCGTTCAGTTGTACCAACGGCTCTCCAATGAAGTTTGCGGCGGCGACAGCGTCGATGCACAACCAGCCTGTACACTCGACGCAGCGGCTCATGCCCTCGCCGGCACGAGAAACTCGTCGAAACGGCGACGGCAACGGACAACTGCGCGCAACCATTGCAACGCCGATTTGCTTGAGCGCGGGCGATCTCTCCCGGATGAGGCCTTCCACGTCGCCCGCCACCAGTGTCTACGATTTTGCATCACCCACACAGCTCAGCCGTGGTCTTCAGCGTCAGTACCTACGCTTGTATGGCCAGGTGCCATGCCGATCTCCTGACGCCTCCTCAACACTACCTATCTGCCATGAAGCTCCCCGATGTTCGCCGGCTCCCCTTGTGGCAGCCACCGGGCTGCGTGGCAAAGTACCCAAGCGACTCAGCCGAGCATCTTTGCGAACAATAGTTTTGCTGAGGTGACACATGACTCATGACCCTCCTCAGACGCCGGTGCGAATGAGGATCGCCTCTGGGTTTGGAAAGGTTGGATCCCCTCAAGGCCTTCCGAGAGCACCCCCAAAAGACCCATCCCGCAGGGCTCATCTTCTGAGCCCCCCTCCAGACAGAAGCACGGTGGAGAAAAACACAAGCTTTCGGAGCGCTTTGGGTGCACATGCTGGCCGCAGGCCATCAGGGCCAGTTCGGACGGTCCTGGGAGCCTCTACGAGCTCACTGGCAGATCCAAACCAACTGAATACCACAATTGTAGTTTGAGCTTTTTGCGCGCACCTAAAACCCCCCCAAAGGGAGGACAGATCAGACAAAGACCCCCTGTGCAGCGGCGACACATGAGTAATTAATTATGTGTGTGTGTGTGTGTCATAACGTGTCTGGTATTACCGACCAAACTCCCAACACCTCCTCGTTCTGTAGGGTGCTTTCCACCATCAAAACGAGACACGCTTCCCATGATACAGCCGCTCTACTCAACAAAGGACACATGCACTGGCAAACATCCGCCGAACCTGTTTGGGACGTCGTCGCCATCACCGCTCCCCCCCTTTCCGTGGGCCCTCCTCATCGAGCGATCCAGGCAGACGGAAATCGAACAACGTCGCAGTTGATTCGAAGGGAAGCCCCTTCCATTTGATCCCTTTCCTGGCGGGGTGGGGGAGGGGTAGCTGCGGGGGGGGGGCGGGTCGACCAGGGCGGGATACCATCTTGTGGCCACCTAGAGCCTGCAAGGCCCTCGCCTCCTGGAGCATCCTGGGGCCTCCTGGGACCTCCTGTTGCTCTCGCGGGCCGCCTGGGGCCTCCTGAGGCATCCTGGGACCTCCCCGGGGTCTCCTGGGGTCTCCTGGGGCCTCCTGGCGCTTCCTGAGGCCTCTCTGGGACCTCCTGGAATCTCCTGGGGCCTCCTGGGGCCCCTTGGAGCCCCCTGGAGCCCCTCTGGGGCCTCCTGGGACTCCCTGGGACCTCCTGACGCCCCCTGTGGGCTACTGGTGCCTGCTGGAATCCCCTAGGGGCCTCCTGGATATCCTGGGGCCTCGCGGGGGGGGGCTCCTGGGGCATCCTTGGACCTCACGTTGCCTCCTGAAGCCTCTGGGTCGTCTTGAAGCCTCCTGGCCCCAGCGGTCTCCTGAAGCTTTACCTCCTCTTCCTCCTCCTCCTCCTCCTCCTCCTCCTCCTCCTCCTCCTCCTCCTCCTCCTCCTCCTCCTCATTCTCCTCCTCCTCCTCCTCATTCTCCTCATTCTCCTCCTCCTCCTCCTCGCCTAACAAAAACAAGCATGTTCGACATACTCGCCTTCCTCGTCCCGACAGCATTCAATTCGATGAAGGCCCATGAAGCCCAAGGGGCCCCCAAGATCGTCCGGTGAAGGCCCATGAGGCCCCCAAGAGTGCCCTGAGACGGCCCAGTACAGCCCCAAGAGGGCCCAAGGGGCCCCAAGACGGCCCAACGGGTCCCTAAAATGGTCCCTGTAGTCCGCAGCACAGGCGACCAGAAATCACGAAAAAAACCGGATCGCCCAATATTGCAGTTAGCAACACACACACACAGAGAGAGAGAGAGAGAGCGAGAGAGAGAGAGAGAAAGAATCATGTTCAAAATCCGGGCCTATTTCAAACATGCGAGGTCTGTTTAAAACTTTGACATTCCAAGAGGCCCTGAAGCCCGCAGCCCAAGCGAAGAGAAACCCCGAAACCCCCGCACCAGATGCTTGTTTGCATAGCCAGGCCTGTATCAGAATGCGTCACCCGTCGTAGAAATATCATACTTCTGAGTTTTTGAAACCCCCAGGAGCCATGGAGTCCGCAGCCCGCCCAGGCGAGCAAGCATCCCGCAAACCCCGGACCCCCCAAGAACAAACAAACAGGCTTGTTCCAAAACTTCTACAATGCTGTTGAACTTCACAGACAACCGAAAATCCCAGGGGTCCTGGATGGAGTCCGCAGCCCTGGAATCCAAGAACCCCGAAAACCCAGGACCCCCAAAACCTCAAACTCTGAACCTGGAGAATTCTAATTCAAGCCTGTTTCAAAGTGGCCGCAACATTTTTCCACAGCTTCTGAAGATAAAATCCCCCAGGGCCCCAGAGTCCGCAACCCAGGCGACCAGGAATCCCGAAAACCCCGGACCCCCCCCCCCCGCATTTCAATTTGTAAGTTGCAGGATTCAGGCCTGGATCACAAGTCTGTAAATTTTCATGTGTATATGTGTACACATATACAAATACAAATTCATATACATACGCATATACATATACATATACATATACATATGCATATACATATACATATACATATACATGTAATATGCATATACATATACATATACATATGCATATGCATATACATATACATATACATATGCATATGCACATACATATGCATATACATATACATATACAAACATGTATACATATACATATACATATACATATATATATGCATATACCTATACATATACATATACATATGCATATGCACATACATACATACATACATACATACATACATACATACATGCATACATTAAAAAGGGTTTGTTTGAAATTCCAAGGGCCCTGGAGTCCGCAGCCGAGGCGACCAGGGGCCCCGGATAACGCAGAGGGGATGACGACAAGCCAGGCGCGCTTCCGTCATATCCGACGTCCGACCCCTCCCTTCCAGTCCTTGACATGGCGCAGATCCCCACTCGATTCGCACAGTCGGATGTCGAGCAGGGCAATGATCGCGAGAGGGTGCGCGATGCAGCGTAGAGAACGGCAAAGCAGGGCGTAGAAGAGCACGGCAGAGCGTAGCATGCCATAGCATGGCGTGGCGTTGCGTAACAAAGAACTGCATCAAAAAACATTGCAACGCAAAGAGTGGCATCGCACAGCGGCACAAAACACTACACCGCACACCGTGTCATAGCATGGTGCCGGGATCCTTGGAGGATAAGTGGATCGTCTTCGAGAGGTCTGGGCTGGTCTGGACTCGTGCCTCCATGTCTAGCTCCTTGGGCTCCCCGAAAAGCTCCACACCAGGCCGGGCTGATAGATGACGCCAGTGCTGCGGCGGGATCACGAATCGGAACGAGCGGAAGCGCGGAAATGAGGCTAGTGCTGCGGCGGGAGCACGATTCGGAACGAGCAGAAGCGCGGGAATGAGGCCAGCGCTGCAGTGGGAGCACGATTCGGAACGAGCGGAAGCCCGAAAATGAGGCCAGCGCTTCAGCGGGAGCACCATTTTGAACAAAAGCCCCAGCGAAAGCGCACTTCCTGGGAATCTGGGGTAAAAACAAAACGCGGAGGGGGGCCAGATATCTTCCGGACGTCACCAGAGGAGAGAGGAGAGTAGTACCCGTGTTGTGTAGTTGCTGATGAGGAGGATGTTAGATGAGGATGAGGAGAGAGGGGGAAGGAGGAAGAGGAGGAGGAGGAGGAGGTGGCTCTCGAAATCTATTCAGCACTCGGCGCGGTCTGGGGAGGGAGGGCCTGGGAGGGGTCCGGGGCGAGGGTGTCCCGAAGGGTTCCCGAGGGGGGCCCCACGGGTTGTGACTTCCCCCCGGGGGGAATCCAACGTGGATCAAAGGGAGACGAGGGGGTATTTCCCTTGTGGATAAAGGGAGCTTAGGAGTCCTCCCCGCATCCCATGTCCTCCTCTGGGGAGGTCCCATGGGGGGTAGCGCGGAGGGTCCCGGGGGGGGGGTCCCAGGGGACGTCACCCGCCCCCGGTGGGTCCCTCTGTGGAGAGGGGGGGACAGGGGGATGCTCCTTGTGGACCGCCTCCCCCGAGTGGAGAAAGGGGACCACCACCGCTCCCCTTTGCTCCTGAACCCCCCCCCTCCCTGGAGGCACGCTCCTCATTCTCATCTGCTGTTGCGGGGTGCCGCATATTTTCCCACGTGCCTCCACGAGGCCCCAGATCTGCTCCGGGGCGGCTCCAAGTGGCCACGGAGCTCTCCAAGAGGTCCCCCGAGAGGCCCCCCAACAGAGCCCAGGAGGCACACAAGAGAGCCCAGAGAAGGGCGCCAGAGCGTCAGCGTCGTCGTGGTCGTCGCCGCCGCCGCCGCCGTCGTCGTCGTCGTCGTCGTCGTCGTCGTCGTCGTCGTCGTCGTCGTCGTCCCCCTTCTGGGCAGGCGGCACCGGCCAGAAGGCTTTCCCAATGTACAAACCCGCACTCTCAGGGCAACGATCCCTCGCAAACATACTTCGGGCACGAAGGGAAGCGCGGGGCTGCTCAGTCGCAGTCGCAGAACATCCGAGCTGCTCGCTTCCTCGTGCGTTTCGTTCAGATGCTCGCGATGTGTAGTTCTCATCAGGCGGTGCACTAGTGCTGCCCGATGCTGCCGTGGTGCTGAGCGCTGCATGCTGCTGAGCGCTGTTGCTCGCTGGGGGTCTCGGGATCCTGTCGGGGGCCTGTGGGGACTCTTGGATACGTGGTGCACGTTGGAGGCCTCTTGGGCCTCATCCGTGGCCTGAGTTCTCTATAGATGCGCCTTGAGACGGGGCACAACAGGGCTCCCGATTTCAGCCCAAAGGACCAACAACATGAGAAAACCACCCCGAATGTTCCCCCGTGTGTTTCCGCAGCGGATCAGGAAAACACACGGGCCGAAGCTTTCGCCCAGCGCTTGGCCAGATGGGCATACATATATATATATATATATATATATATATATATATATATATAGCCTACAAAGGGTGCAGCAGGCAGCGAGGACTCGCCGGAAGCGTCCCCGATCCATCAAGTCCCCCGCCGGGCCCAGTGTCGAGTGCGCCCTTCATTGGAGTGCTGGCCACGGGGGCGGCGGGGACTCGCTGGAAGCGTCTGCGATTACAGGCGAGCCTGTTGAGATTCTCAGACCACTGTCACGGGAACAGGCGCGCGTCCACCGTGCACTGCGTTGGCTTCGAGGGGAATTGAAAAGTGCCGCAGCGCTGCAGTCCTGTGCAGCCTCGAGCACGTGTAACAGCAAGGGCTCCCAACTTCGCGCCTCGCGCTGCGCGAAGCGCGAAGCGCGAATCACTTCGCGCCCTCGCGCCGCCTCCCAGGGGAGAAGAGGAGGCTGAGGAGGAAAATCGGAGCCGAACCGCGAAGCGCGAAGCGAGAATGACCTCGCGCCCTCGAGGGCGCCCCTGTGACAACGAAGGCCATCGCGCCGGCACCCCACCCAGAGAACGTGCCCTGCCGCCTGCGCAGGCGGGAGACGCGGCGGCTCAGTGCAGAGTGGTCACGCGCGGCCCGCTCGCTGCAGGCTGCTGGATCAGCGTCTCGACCTGGCTGGCCAGGGCGGAGATCTCGGAGTGGAGGAACTGCCGCATGCTCACGAGGTCCCTCACCTTCACGGGGCTGTTCCCCCGGTGCAGCGCGATGAGCTGCCAGAAGTCGCGGAGCCTGATCTCCTTCCTGTCCCTGAAGACGAGCTTGCTGTGCTCGAACAGGTCATCCGTATCAATGCCGAGCTGACGAAATCCATCGACTATGTTATCCTGTGTCAAGACTATTGCTATATCCTGAGTCGTGAGGGTATCGTCCTCGGTAAAATCAAATCCACTGTCAAAAATGAGCCGCTTCACCTGCGTCAGCTGCGCTGTCTCTGATTCTACTGTGGCGACGACACCAACAACTTGAACAAGTACCCCGACGAGCATGTGTAGAGGTAGAAACAAGTGCATAAATATAAATGTTCGGAGCTACGCGCGGATGTATTGCATCCGCGTTGCGCCCCCCCTGACTGGCGCAACAAAAAACGCGCCAGAGGCGGCGCCAGTGGCGCCGCAACGGGAGGGGTCAGCGCGAATCTAAAACATCCGCGCGGAACTCCGAAAGTTCATAAGTATGCAACTGTGTCTTCTTCCAATGTTTAGAATCGTGATGAAACCGAGAAGGATAAAGAGTAGAAACAGCGCAGCGAAGACCGCACTCTCCTCGGCAAAATTGTACGTCATGGGCGCCATGTCCGGGATGAGGCCTCTCAGAACTAGCGTGAGCATGGCCGATGCGACGTGATCGAAGTGTCCGTCGCTGTTTATGCTTGTGTCCCTGGTGAACTGCACGAAAAGTATCGCAAAAACGTAGACGAGCAAGGTCAACAGAAGACAGATAAAGAACACGGTCCGCGCAACGACCAGGAGCCCCCTTGTGATCACGGCCAGCTCAGGAATGCAGCGAAGAAGTCTCGCGATGCGTGCCGCCCGCATGAACCGTGCGAGCCTGCACAGCCGCAAGAGGTCCGTAGGAAAATTGGCAGCTTCGCTGTTCAATACAGCAGACACAAATAGCAAGGCCCACGTCTCGAACATCATCAAGAGCAGAAGCGCCGTGTCGAAAGCGAACCAGCGGTCATAGAGGCATTCAGACTTACGCCTGAAGGCGCACAACCGAACACTCCACTCCCAGAAGAAGAAAAGGCAAAACATGTTCTCCACCAGCACGATCCCCAGATCGGCCTCGTACAGAATATCCTTGTCGTTGTGGTCGGTCTCGATACCTATCCAGATGGTGTTCAGAAGCAACGCGAGAAACTGAGCGGTACTGAACAAGGGATGCTGCGCAAGCCACTGGGCCGTACCCTTGTCGTGGTACAGTTTCGCAACGTCGTAGTCGCCATCCCAGGCCAGCTGCTTAGCGGACTCCTCGAGGGCGCTCGCATCGACGAAGACGCTCGTCTGCGCCCTGCTACGGCCAATTATACCGCCCAGCGCACGGCGTCTGTTGGGAATGAAGAAGGCCGAGGCCACGTCTGTCGCCGACACTTTGCTGTCCATCTTGGGTCTCCGCTGCTGCGCCGAGACGGGGCTCTCCTCGAAGAAGGAACATGTGCATAAACATAAGACTTTTGACGGGCCGAAAGATGTCCTGGATCGGCGCTGGACTCCACTCCCTGGCGCGCGGAGCGAGCCAAGGGCGGCGCCAGAGGCGCCGCCCAGGGGCCCCAGCGCAGACCCAAGAAACCCCCGCGGACCGCCGAACGTGCATATTTATGCAATGTTTCTTCTCCGATCTCCTCAGGAACAAGATTACGCTTGGAGTCCACTCCTTCGGGACTGCTTTCCTGAGGAAGATTCGCAATCACCTCGCTGACAGGCTGAGCTTTCAGGGTGTACTGCCAGCGCTCCACCTCCTCGGCAACTTCTCTGCTCCATGCCTTACCGATCTCCTTGGAGAACATCCAGGACATGAAAGTTTTGAACCTCACCTCTGCGTCGCGCTCTTCGGGGTGGCCCTTGCTGCCCCCGAGATGCTGCATCACCCAGGAGACGCGCCGCATCGACAAGTCCTTTAGGCCCCTGCTCTTCAAGACATGGAAAAGGTGTTCGGGAGAGATCGTTGCCAAGCCGGCATTCCACACGTCGACGTCGAACATCTGCAAGAACGGGGCCAACTCCGCCGCCGGGATCCTCACTCGGCGGTTGAGCGACTGCTGCTGCCCGTCGACCTCCCCGCCGACATCTTGGCAGACCTCCAGGTCAGCATCCTGTCGGATACACGCGAGTGGCCCCGATTGGGCACGGGTGACATCTGGTGCGAGGCTTGCCGGAGGAGGAGGAGGAGGAGAAGGGAAAAGTATGA